GCATTCTGAAGAGCTATGTTTCATGGGGGACTCTGGGGAGTATTTTGAGTATCCAGGCTTTTTCTGCATTAAACATACACTGCCCTTTCATGTTCAAAATGTTTTCAGATCGTGTTAAGTTTTAGCGGTGTTCATCAAAAGCTATTTCTTGACCCACTTTTGCTGGGAACAGTAAAGGCAGATGCAGCCTGATTAAACAGAGAACTGCCTGGAGCACGTGTTTAAAATACAGATTCCCTGGCCTCTGAATTTGAATCTCCACGGAAGTTCTCAGGTGAATCTTACAGTTGGGTAAGTTGGGAAGACCTAACCTGATTTCATTTATAAGAAACATCCAGGTACCTCCCTGGCGGTCCAGTGGTTAAGAGTCCACGCTTCCACTGCAGGGGGTGCGGGTTCAATCCCTGCTCAGGGAACTAAGACCCACATGCTGCATGGTGCGGCCAAAAAGAAAAATGTCTAGAATAGGCAAATCTATAGGATCTGTGGTTACAGTAGATTAGTGGTTGCCTCGGGGTCTGGGGGCCGGGAAAGGGAAGGGGATGTAGAGGTCCCAGGGATGATACCTAAAGAGTGCCAAGTTTCTTTTGGGGGTTGATGAAATCTCTAAAATTGATTGTGATGATTGTACAACTCTGTAAATATACTAAAAGCCACTACTGAATTGCACATTTTAAATGGGTGAATTGCATGGTATGTGGACTAAATCTCAATAAAGCTGTTTAAAAACAAAGCAAAACACTTGGACCGAGCTCTACAAGCAAGGCAACCAATCATCTTTCGCAGACTTGGGTGGTACCTGTTACCTAGTAGACTAGTCAGCAAATACTTATGGATGTATATGTTGGAGGGTACAAAGTAAATGAGCAATTGCAATGGGGTGTGATTCCCCTAGTACTGTACTAGGGGAAATGCAAGCTTCTGTGACAGGAGCCCAGTGGAAGGGAAGCTTCCTGAAGAAATTTGTGATGTCTAGATTGAAGCCTATCAGGTAACCAGGCATTAGCAAGGCAAGATGAGGAGTGGGAAGAGTGTACCACAGAGGGGCACGCAAGCCCTGCGGGTGGTTCGGTGAGGTCCAGTGCAGACTGAGAAGTTAGGTGGCAGAAGTGAGGAGAGAGGAACACACTTAAAAGCCTTTGTAAGCCAGGTTGAGGGGGCTGGAATTTTCCTGAAGAGAAACTGTAGTGGTGGGTTTATGTTTTTAGAAGTCACTTTGCACAATGGAGAATGGACGGAAGAAGGGCAAGATCAGAGGCAGGGAGCCTGTGAGGGGGCAGTTTTAGTGTTTAGGAGAGAGGTCAACATGTCCTGAAACTGAGTGGTACCAATGGGGATAAAGAGAAGCAGACAGAATTTAGAAATATTTAGGGCATTTAATTGAGAAGATTCTGATGGCTGGGAAGAGGGGACAGGGAAAGA